CATTCAGAATACTTTATGCCCACACTATTGCTTTTTTTAATTGTGCATGGCTCACAGTGTTCTTATGCATCTTTTAAATCCTTGTCCGTTGCAAAACAAGATGGATAGCACTAATGAAGTAGGCAAAGGGGTCATAATTATGACAAGATAGGCGTTCCCTAACTTCCAAGAGCTATCAATGGCAGCTGTGTTAGATGCATCTTTTGAGAACAGACGAGCATGTCTACCTCGTTGCTTTTCCATTCTAGTGTGTGACTTAAAATGAATTGGTTGCTAACAGTAAGCCTTTTTGTACTTTTGTGTATTCTAGCTGCAAGAATTGCATCTAATCTGATTGAACACATGGTAGAACATGATAGTTTCACTAGCCAGACTCTAATTTACCAAATAAGAGTCTGGTTCCATGCCTGATATCAACTCATGTTATCAATGTTTTGATTTGTGTGGGCAAAGAAGGTGAATCTCTATAAACACGCCCAAGCACCACAATATTGTGGATTTATTGTTTTTATACTGATTTTATACTTGTTTGTATAAATGTACTTATTTTACACTTTATACTTGCTTCCTGACATCAAGAAAAATACAGTAGTAAAGCACTTTTCATTTTTGGCTTTTTCGGCAGTACTGAAGTTATAGCAGATATCATGGTGGCTGAATTCATCTCAGATTCAAAAACATTATTTCTAGAAGCATTTCTTTACTTGCCTAATTGTCTCGTCATCACAGGAGATAAAGGCAATCCAGTCAGCAGTTGTATAGTCATAGAAAGAAAGTATAATAGCTCTGTTAGTTCCATTATAGATTTGCCATGCGTGGGCGGATTCTAATGTAACCATAGTAACAGTGAACAGTCATCTGATTAGGTCAACCAAATTCCACCACACAAGACCAAGTTGATGTTAGGCATGAAACCAGACTCTATTCTAAAAATTGAGTCTGGCCTTGCAAGACTAGGTAGAACACAGTTATACACCTCAGTCTCGGTTTCTATGGCATTTATTAACTTCAGGACTGCATCCCATGGTCAGAAATCCCACAGAAACCTCGACCTTGGTGTATAACCTATACTTATTGGTTAAATGAAAATGAAACAATGCATTACACTCATAAAACAAGCTCATTTTCGAAGGTTAATAAATTTAGTGATGATTAAACGAAAATTTAAAAATACATTATGCACAAAAAGCACACTTTTTTAATTCCTTTAGTGTAATAAGTACTTGCTGCTTATCAACTAACAACTCCTCTTCAGTAAGTACATTATCTTCATAAAGTTCTTTTAATTTCCTAAAATCATCAAGGCAATTTCTTCTCTCTGAAAGCTCCACTCACTTCAGTTAGTATTTATTGACTTGGGTATGGTTTACTATCACCAGTACAATAAGTGGACCAGCAGCAAAGGATCAGAGGTTGAGGCCCACACAAAAAGCTAACGTATTGAGAACAAGTCACTATTGGTGATTGACTCAACCAAAGCTGCTAAAGAGTAGATGGAAAGCTGAACACTAAAAACTCGGTCTTATTGTTGTAGCAATGCTCCATCACTTTCTTGACTATTGATAGAATATTTCTATTGCTGCAAATAATTGCAGTCACTAATATGTCCCAAGGTATGGTAAATGGAGTCATTTAAATGGCTAATTTCCGAGAAGGGTGAGCTGTATGCAACTCAATAACACATTAAAAAGAGCAAGGTTAGAGTTACAAATGATACATACACTCATTATGCTATACTTTAATCTTTCTACAATCCCTTTTGTAGTACAAGACTCTACAAGGAATATTACAATCAACATTTCACTAAATTTTCACTTTTTATTACATTAAGTTTAATTAACTGTGCTTTGACAATTCAGTTACGGTATAGCAGGAAATTTTGGAGGGACTTCAATTTGTCAAATTTGGCATTTTGATAGCCATTTGCAAAGATAAAATCCATCATTTTGAGCCATTATACCCATGCTCAATGGCATGAGGCCACAAATTTGCCAAATTAAAATCTGCCAATAACCAAAATTTATCAATTAACCAAATTTCACTCCCTCAAACATTTTCCACTATACAGTACATAATAATCATACACATGCACATATAGGTATCCCTGAAACAAAAATACATCATTGATATTATTTGCAAGAAATAACAGGCATTACCTTTAGGATAGATAGAAATTGGAATAGCTGCAACACCATAATGCTCACACTTGCATTGACTCTACAAAGACATCTCAAATTATTACAAAAAAATGCTAAATGCTGTATGGTTAGTAATTTTTGAGAGTCCAATATTTCACATTTTCTCCGAAATTTTCTTACAAGCTAAGATTCATGGATACAAATATTCGTGACTGGCAGTTAGCAAACTTGTTTTCACTTGGATCTACAGCACTAGCTTCAAATGCATGGCTTATAGTGGAACATGGAGTAATTGACAAAGGCTCTGGCTCCTTCACTACTGGTAGTTAGAGCTCTGAATGGCCCATTAATAAGTTTTTCATGTGTGGTTGCTAGGGGTTAAAATTTGGTGGACTAAAAATGAACTGCAAAATTAACAAAAATTAATATCCCATAAAATTTACTAACCATACAGTACAAAAAAGAGAAAAGAGAATGTAAACAAGCTTCCCGAATCAACAAAATGATTTACAATACACAACATACTAAAAGGTTATTGACCCCTCATTACTAAACTCCTTTTTTATTATGCGTCTGCCATAGGATGAACAGGTCGATTGGCAAAGCACTCACTGTCACAAAGGCATGAACATGTAGCACATTTTATGGGTTACTTAACACTGCACAACATGTGTAGAATAGGTACATCATGGTATGTGCATGGTACATCAAAAATTGATACTAAATCGAAAACTTTGATGAACTTACATAAGATAATAAGGCAAATAATTCATCGTCATTAGAAACAGTTATGTAGTCTCCATCTTCATCTTCATCTGCAACAAAAATATTTCATTAATTTTTTTTAATTCTTACATTCAAAAGCTGTTGGCAGTGGTGTTGTATTAAGAAGTACTTGGCTCATCACATCCTATAAAAAAATGAACTACAATTAATACCACTGCAGCAAAAATTCAATTAATAACTGATTATATACAGCAGTTGTTTTAGAATAACAAAAAGAGATATTCCTTTTCTATTTTGAATTATCATCATCATCATTATAATTATTAGTAGCTATAAAAACACACACAATAAATGAAGTAATAATATTACGAAAAGCACTTAAAGTGCATACCCTTGCCACACAAGCAATAATTTACTGTTGATGAAAGGTGTCAATAATATTAAACTAATTAATTGTACACATGTAGGTGTGGTTTCAAATTCTAAAAAAGGCTACACATACAAAATTAGGCCCTCATAAGCTTGAGGTTTTCTCAGTTGTAAAAGCTCTTTTGACACATCTACTTCAAGGCAGTTTCAGGATACTGGCTGCCTTCTCTACTGAGATTCAAGAGGCCGCATTTGACATAGTACAAATTTTACACTGTCATATCATACCAAAGAAAAAGAAGTAAAAAATCCCCACATAAGTTTGAAGTTTCATGCTATTACCTTTCTTATGATGTTACAACAAATTCTACTACTGCCATAACAATAAAGTTGACAGGCTGAGCTATCTTTGCTTCAATTTTGCCGGGTTTTTTCACCTTACAAAAGAGTAAAAAGCTCTTAAAATGAAAGAAAACAATCTTTTCCATTCAAATAAACTAGTTTTGAGTCTCCGGATATTTTATCCTGAAAGCAGGAGTGATTTAGACTTCTTGCCAACACACACATAGACAAATCAACTCATATACCCTTGATCATACACCTATGCGTGGCAAGGGTAACAAGTGCACTATAGCACATGCCCTCACCACAATCAGTGTAACATAACACAAATGGAACATTGATGTTGTTCTTAAAAAGTAATAAACAGAATGCTAATGATGATTTGCTGTTACTGTTAGCTTGCTCAGCTTTGCATTGCTTGCTGCAGCAATTGAAGGTGTGGCTGAATTAAAATGTGTGGCTCAAATAAAGCACCGCCTACTACATAGTAATGCCAGTTACTGACAGTTATGTACACTTTTACGCAGGACACAACACTGTAGGTCGGGATATATTCGTGGCTGCTTATTTTTATGATAATAAAACTAATAAAAAGGTTCAATTAAATACCATAGAAACCAATGGATTGTTACTAATAAGACCACGTTTTTATACAATTACACTGTTCAGCAGCTAATTATCTATTCTTTAGCAGCTTTAGTGGGAGCCATCCAGTTCTCGATCCGCTATCTTCTTGTATGGACCACGGGCACATTGCAGTTTAGGTCCTACCAAATTAATTAATTAATTAAAGTGACGTCACGTTAATTAATTAAATGATGTCACTTCCGCAATAATAACAATTATTATTTTGTCAATGTTGCTAATGTATTGTTGCTATGTATTTTTAAATTGTTTAATAAAACAAAATTAAAAGATGAATTACAAGACTCTTTATTCCACTTTGACATATGATGAAGATGTTACAACAAGTTGGCTTAGGAGCAAGCATCTAATAGCAAACTACATGGATTGCAAGAAATGTGGATCATTTTGCAGATTAGTCACAAAGAAGGATACAAAAGTATGGAGATGTCCTTTACAAGGCTGCCAATCAGTTATATCAATAAGGAATGAATC